AATAAAAAAAAATTATTCAGGCAGAAACAAGAGTTTGTGTGTGTGAAGGGAATAAAGCAGAAATACTGTATTATTAATGTACATGGTGGGATCTGCACGGGCAGGAGAAAAGCACGGTTCTAACAGATAATGCAAACACCACACCATTTCAGCAAGGTTCTGAATATTAACACTTTGCTTTCAAAAGTATGTAAAGAAGAGAGGGAGGAGGAAAAGATAATGATTTAGAGGGATGTCTCATACATTATTCACTATCATCAGAAGGAAAGTCAAATTCAATAAAGTACATGTTGATTTATCAAACAAAATCCTGCATGGAGATTAATACAATAAATACAGATTTCAATGAAATTGTGCCCTAGCACTTATTATTTTAAATCCTCACCCCAGGACATGCTTATTAATTTTAGCAAGAGGGGAAGGAAAGGAGGGAGGGAGGGAGGGAGGGAGGGAGGGAGAGAGAGAGAGAGAAACATTGATCGGTTGTCTCCCTATGTGCCCCAACCAGGTATTGAACCCACAACCTAGGTATGTGCTCTGACTTGGAATCAAACCCACAACCGTTTGGTGTATGGGACAATGCTCCATTCAACTGAGCCACACCAGCCAGGGCCCTAGCACTTATATTTAAAGCTATGGTTTAAAAATGTTCATGGGAGTTATGGATAATTTTTATCAAATGGCAAAAACAGACACTGGTAATGTTATTGTGTTCTTAGCTTGTCACTTAATACTTATGATTTTAAGATTAGCCCCTTAGAAGTTGCTCATTTACTTTTGGTACTTATTGATCATTTAGGATATGAAGCTGTCATGAACCCTCTATTATGACCACAGAAAATATGATGGCCATCAGTCAATGATTATTTTAGAAGAAATGGGAGAAATGCTATTATATTATATATGTTATAAGCATAGTGTAGTAAATATTTTAAAATAAAAATACAGACCTCACCAGCACAAATTTTAAAGAAAAAAATTTAAGGAAATACTTTCTCATTGACAATACTATATTTTTGCTTATTTATATCTTTATATAATCATAATCAAATTATTAGTTTCACTAATTTCTGTTATCAATTTCTGTAAGATAGCTATAATTCATAAATATTGATTAGGATGGTGTTTGGATTTAACCTAACTTTAAAAATATTAATAAAAAACCTTTCAGCTTTGGTGGACATGTTAGGGCTCTGGGGCTTGATGGCACAGTGACCTCACAAACCCTTTCATGGCTTTTCTCATCTCAGAGTGTTTCTCAGTGTCGCGCACAAGCACTTTCCTGGTCCTTGTGTTACTTCTTATGCAGTAGAAACAGTGGATAATCACAAACCTTTTACACTTGCACAAAAACAGTTCTCTAGCAATTGTATTTTACACTTTTGAGCAGAATTTTGCTTCTATGTAACCTGATCAGATATGTGCCTTTATATATATATGCAACTTCCTTTCTCCACTCCACCTCCAACTGAAGGGTGATCTCACCATTCAGCAGTTTAAACAAAGGGTCTGCTGTGGGCTTCAGGTGTTTTAGGTTGACAGTCTTCAAAACAGATTTCCAGAAGAGCTCATAAGGCTTATGATATTTTTAGACAAATTATTGAATAGAATTGAAGATTCTGCCTTTTAGTTTTACAATGCGTTCACCTTGCTTGTTGAATGCGCTTGGATTAGTGGTGTTTGTATGGCAGTTAGCCTGTAAGCCTTGACTGTATGTTTTAAGAAAAAAGGCAGTAGGTCACCTCTAAGTTGTGCATCATGTCAGAGGTAGAGAAGGTCTACATATTCGTCCTGCTTTATAGACTCCAGTATATAGACTTCTGGGGAAACAGATAGGAAACCTATAATGCATCTTTAACAAAGGTATGGAGTGGAACTTTCGATTTGAAGAGGTAGGTGGCAGGATGGGCTATATGATATGTAGGGGCCAGTGAAAAATGAAAATGCAGGGCCATTCGTTTGAAAATTAAAAATCTCAAAACAGTGACAGTAGATCATTCAACCAAGTATGGGGCCCTTCTGAGCTCAAGGCCTGTGTGACTGCACAGGGCGCACTCACCAAGCCTGCCCTGGCCAGAAGTTGAGATGAGAGCAAAAAGAAAAAGGAGTAATCTATTTTCCCTCCCTCTTTCTATCCCACTCTTATCTGTGTGCTCATCAGATTGACCATCTGTGCAGGGGGTACTGTGGGGACCATTAGCTAAGACACTGACACTTTAGCCTGTGGGGAGGGGCAGGAGAGAGGGGTTGTATTACACCGTGATGGGGATGGGGGTGGGGGCGTGGGAGTGGGGGTTGAAGGTCTCCTGAACTGACCTAGGATGGAGAGCATTATCTTGGAACCCTTACAGCTTTCTAGCAATGAATTAAAGCTACTTCTCTTCTCGGAATCTAACCTTTCATTGCTGTAAAATGGTGATAGCTACCTTGCAGAGTTATCGTAGGGATTAGACATAATGCAGAAGGTACCTGGCATGGTGGCTGGTATGCAACGGGAGCCAATAGATATTGCATGGAGAGCCTTTGTGTGTGTGTGTGTGTGTGTGTGTGTGTGTGTGTGTGTGTGTGCGCGCGCGCGCGAGTGAAGAGATGTACTGAGTGAGGCTGGGTGAAGAGGCCTCAAGTCTCAGATGGGGTGGGGGATCAAAGTGCTTGAAGAGCCTCATAGGAGCTGGCTGCCTCCCTGCACCCATCCTTCGTTCCCAAGTGCTTTGGGATGGTTTAAAACTCAGAGTTTCATCTTCTTCCCAAGCAGGGCGAGGAATGATCGGTGGGCGGGGTGGGGTGGGGGGAGTCAGTACACAGTGGAGTTCAGTCCAACACTGAAAATTTGCCAACGTTCACCTACGCTGTGGAGATGACACAGCAGCTGTGGGCAGACACCAGTGAGGGCGTGGAGGCTCTGGGATACATTAGGCTTAAAGATGTCCCATTGTTCACCCTGAGGTTTTGCAGTTTGTGTATTTTATCCTATTACGTTTCCATGATATACAAAGGACACAGCCAAAACCATTTCATGTAGTTTTCCCACTTTGTTTTGATTTATTATTTGTTGTTTACGGTGTTGCCTCCAATAACAACAATGGAATTTCCTTCCCTACTTACTCATCTGGCCTGTTTCCATCTTGCCTGTTTATTTTTATTTCCTTTTTGGACTGAAATCTCCGCATGACTCTGCTTTGTTTATTTCCTTGCATGTATGTGTCAGCATCATTCATTAGTATGTCCACTCAGAACAACTTTGTTCATTAATTATAAAGGTCCTGTTTCCTGGTTCCTAGTGGGAGTGTCTGAAGTGCTCCAGCCTGCTCAGGACTGCAAGGCGGCTTGGGTTAGCAGCTTCCTCATCACTGCTTCCTGCAGGCAGATGGCTTACAGATGAAACGGGAGGCAGCAAAGTCACTCCACAGCCAGAGGCCCTTTTCTCAAATCCTCTGACTTACCAACCCTGCCCGCTTATCAGTGTTGATTTCCATTTGCTTTTATGTAGGCAGCCGGCTTTGTGAGGACCTGCTTTTTGCAGACACGCTCAATTCCTTGAGGACGGGTCCCTGAAACCTAGTCTGTTGTTAACTAATGAGCGATCACAGCTCGCAGTGCTAGCTGCTTGGGAGTGTACGATGAATGTTAGACTTGGCCCTTTCTTATGAAGGACTTACAGCCAACAACAGAGTTAAAGAGGTAACTTGACTTATCTATTGGTTACCTGAATATATTAGATCTGGATTCTCATGATTGACTGAATTAACCAATTCATTAAACATTTATTTAGTACTTACCTTGTTATATGACACCATATCTAGTGTCAAGATGCTTAAAAGGCCGGAAGGTAGAAATAGAATGGAAAGCAAATAAATATAATAAAGTCTTGTAGGTAACATGATGGAAATCTGTCCAGAGTATACATAAAAATTAACAAAGGAGGAGTCTTTACTCTCTTGGGTGTGGGTGGAGAGGAAGCGTCACAAACAAAGACAAAAGGTACTGGATATATTTGAGGTCCCATAAGTACTTTCAAGTGTCTGAAACAGAGCGGCTGAGAAGGCAGGAGGGCATGGTGGGAGAGGCAGGTGGAGGAAGGCAGACATAAAGGGCTTTGGATGTCACATTAAGGTGTTTGGATTTTATTCTCTGGGAAAAGTTTCAGGTAGGTGAAACATCATCATTCGATTTTCCTTTTAGAAAAATTACCCTGAGAAGGGCAGATTCAGGGGGACTTGAATGGAAGCCAGAAGATTCCTTTGGACAGTATGGTGCTAAGCAGGCATGATGTGATTCTGAATAAGCCAATGGCAGATAGAAAGATATCCAAGAGTAGACTTTATAGAATAGCTATCAATTTTAAAGGTTTTTTTTATAGCAACTGCTGATGAAACTGGAGCTCAAGAAAGTAACACAGCCATTAACACAGAAGAGAATCTTCCTCTGTGCTTCCATCTGCTGTTAGGAAATGCGGTTGTTGTCACACTAGCCTGTAACACTCTATACAGCGATCACTTGTATACAACCCTTTCTGCCCCGAGACACTAAGCTTCTTAAGGTTAAGATTCAAACTACTGAATTATTTGTGTATGCCCAGCGTGGAGCCTTGTATAAACACGTGTGCAATCGTTGTTTGACGCCATAGCCAGTGCTTCCTGCACATGCACGGCATGGCATGCAGTATGGGGGCATCACTCAGGCTCATCTTACAGCCACCCGTTTTCATCTCTCCTCCAGGGGGGCCAGAGCAGAGGGGCAAGCTGGGGATGCTCTTCACTTTGCTTTAACATTATATCACTTCATTCATCATCAAGATGTGCCTCTACCTCCAGAAGCCTGTGTTAAAATACCAAGAACAAATATTTAAAATATAAAAAGTGGCCGTAAAAGTTGATGCTTTAGTGATACTGGCGTCAGCGGTCTCATTATTCACAAATCAAGCATGGTAATTTGCTTCTCTATCTCTTTTTATGTTACTTAATGCTTTAACCTAGATCACACTTTATTCTCCCACTCAGGTCCGTAATGCCTCCCGCCTGGCTCTTTCAAGATGGAGGGGAAACCTGTGGGAGAGCCTACTCAAGTGGTGTCTAAATTCAAACTTCCCGCCAAGGTGGAGAGCACAGGGCACTGGCTGGAGGAAGATCATGCTCGGATATGGGAAGTTTTGAAGACTGAGGAGGTAAGACAACCCTAAATAACACGGTTGGTGCAAGGATGGATTTTGTTACCCTTGAGACCATAATGCTGAGTGTAGCCAGCACCACAGGCCAGCTGGGAAAATTATTATTTGAGGCCAGAGGCACTTCATGACTGGAGAACAGTAAGTCAGGGTTATGTCCCTTGGACATTAATGACTTCACAGGGATTCAGCCAACAGAGATAGCACTTAGGCCTTACAGTGTGTAAGTAGACATTCTTCTTGTACAATCCTACCAAATCTAATTGGGAAATAAAATCACGGGGAGAAAGCTGATAACGAAGGATCAATCATAATAAGTGGAATTATATGAATTTGTTGTTTGACAGCTACGTGATCAGTGAGGGCTCTTTGGTTGCAAGCAACAGGCATGAACTCTGACTAATTTCCGGGAGATGGGAAATCATTGGAGGATGGTGGGAGGCTCACAGAATTGATGAG